AAACAAAGAAGGGGGAGCTGTAAGGCGCCCCTAAAAGACCTCTCCCCTCGTGGCACCAAAGATGGCGCCTAGCGGAAGTCCTCTAGGCCTTACTTAAGTAAACAACTATACGGAAGTGGGCATAGCGGTGACGTGGTATGCACATGATCACCACGGGAACAGTACATGCAACCAATCCTCACCCGAAGATTAGTTTCCGTGCACGTGGACAATGAACCGATTGGCTAGGGGCCCTATATAAGGCCCCGGGGGTTGGGGGAAAAAGGAGAAGAAGATTGTAAGAAGCCTGGGGAAATAAAGCGTTTCGGAGAAGACCTTGTCAGTGGCATCATTGAAGCGACAGTTTCCTATTTTCTACTTGGAAAATTTTTAAGAGAGGCCAGAAGCTATCTAGAAAAAGTGAGAGACTTTAGGAGACTCAAATCCTTCTGGAACACCCACAAGTGGCTAGGCCACTTAGGTTCTCAATCATGTAACAACTGATATCATATCCTTTTTTTCCCCATAGATGAGGAAAATGAGTTATATAAGGTCATTTATGTATCTTTCTCAAGGTCACTGCACGTATTGCTAAGTCATGGATCTGGTACCTGAATGTCTTTCTACTCGCCAGTCCTGCCCACTATGAGATTATCATTTTTAAATGGGAAGGTGGGTGGTGGTGGTAGTGGGAACCAGGTGGAGAGCATGGAAGGTTTGGAACAGGCAGAGGAGATAAATCATTAGGACAAGACTCGGCTATATTGGAGCTCTTCTGGCCATGCCTGCATTTCTTTATTGTTAAGGTCGACTTCCAGAGGGACTCTGCCATCAGCTTGGATAGGTCAGTCCTCAGTGAAAAATTACTTTCCCCAAAGGGAAATTTACTTTGTAAAAGGCGAGCAAGCAACATTTAAAGAAATATCAGATATTCTAATTCAGGCAAAGGTCATGAGCTTAAACAAGGCTTAGCAGTTTATCATGTAAAGTTGTGAGTTGTACAACTGCCACTGCACTTAGCAGGTTATTAATGGAAGCTGTAGAGTGGATGGATAAAAATAAAAAATGACGGTAGCCTAAGATTTATGATAATTTTTGATTTAGTGTGCCCGAACTGTTTCAAGAACAGGACTGATTGTTTACTTGTATGAGCTAGGCTGAATAAACTAAGGAGGAGGAGGAACAATTACTGCCCTCGGAGGCCCCCCAGTCTGGGCTGTGGCTGTTACTATTAACTACTTTTTTCTGTCTCTTCTCAGCAGACAGTGTGAGCTTCCTGAGGTATGGACAATGTGTCCTCTTTGTTTCTGCCTTCATGCCTAGCATGAGGTAGCATATAGCTGGTTTTCAGTAGTTACTGTTGTTTGGATAATAATCTCTGCATTTCTGGGATGCTACACAGAGGCCACGAGGTCAGGTGAGCTCTATGGGACATGTCACCAACCTCTCTCCTGCTGCCTGCACCTTCTAGCAGTCCCACTCTCTCTCTGTGTGGTTTTGAATCTGCAGTCCTGGTATCTCAAGGTTACTAAATTAAGAAGTTTCATGTTACTGGCCTTTCCGCATCAGTGGGGCCTGCATCTACCTCTACAGTGCAGTTGGCCCGAATGTTATGTGACTACTATTTTCTTTAATGATTCCCTTCAATTTTGGAGTTCCAGCTGAGTTCTGGATTGGAGTAGGTTCTACTTGGATGACAACATGATAGAAGAGGACTTACATTCAAGAGGAAGTATGAAGGATTTAACTTTGTGCATGAAATAAAAAATCAATTGTCATATTTGCGTAGGTATCTTCATAGGTGAAACTTGTGTATGGTCATTGAAAAGTCTAATTTTTCCCCTTGAAAGTGAATTCTTTCCAGGGAATAAGATAAAAACTTGTAGGGCCGGCAGGTGATATGGTAGTTAAGGCCCTGGATTCCCACATGGTTAACCACAGTTGGAGTCCAGGATCCAGTGACTTGAAGATTACTCTGGCATGTGGGCATGCATGTCCCTAGTTTGGATGGGTCAATCCTCAGTGACTGGTATGGCCATCCCCCCTGGGGGGGGTGGATTTCTTACTCTCTCTCTCTCTCCAGTAAGCACTTGTGCCCTATGCACTGGTGGGGGTGGGGGGGGGCAACAGAAGAACAAAACAAAAGATTGGAAAATGATCCAAAATAAGTTTTGAAGTTATCTTTATAGTTTTATACATTTCTGTGGTTATAAAGCCTAATCTCTCCAGTGTTTCTCTCAATAAATAAATCAAGGAGTATGGAAAATGAAGGTAAGAGAGTAGGGGCAGGAGAGGAAGGCAGAGACTCGGGGATACCTTCTTGGCTAAGAGTAGTGTGTCCTGCTTGCAGGTCTGAGTTTTGCTGCAGAGTCTGTCTGTGAGCCGGGAGACCTGTTCATAGATGAAATCTTTCTCTAGTAACTTCTCCTCTTTCTTGGCTAGCTGTAGTTCCAGCTAAGGTTGAAAACAATTTCAATAAGAAGGAAAATTTTTAAAAAGTTATGCAAGACAAAACCTTTTTTTTTTTCCTAATTAGAGAACCACATGCATCTCTCATCCCACCCCACCACATCCTGGCAAGAGATTGCTTTATCAGTTGCTAGATAATCTCTGAAAAATATTTAAAGCTGGGCTAAGTCAAGACTTGCTATGCCCCAAACCCTTCCGGACAGCTCTGGGAGATCTCCCCTGTGGTAAAGTGTGACCCTCTCTGCTCTATCTATCATCCATGTTGCTATTCTGCTACATTCCCTTCAGGAAAACAATCCATTCAAGGTACCAAAATTGCTCTTTTGGGCCATGAGAGAAAGACATCTCTGGAAGCCACTAGATTTTGACTTCTTTTAGCAAGTCTCTAAAGTCAAGCTTAGGGTTTGTTACTAGATTACAAGGAAAGGACTGTATTAGTGACTAGAATAATGAAGAAAAGGTTTGTCAACTTAACATGAATCAGTACCACAGGTATCTGAAATGATCAACAGAGGGCTAGTACTAGAATTATAGGCAATAATGTTTACCTTATCTAATTTTTCGATCATTTCTTTTTCAGTCAGGTCTTTCCCTGGAAGGAGGCGGGTTCTGTTTTCACCCTCAGGATTTATAAACTGTTTCTCCAGGTCTTTTATTCTGTCTGAACACTGTGAAAACTGTTAAACAAGAAAGAAACATTTAACTTTCTCGGTTGGGAAATCTTAAAATCACACACTCCAGAGTCTCCAGAGTTTTTCAGTAAGACCAACCCAGACAAGAATGAAAGAGAATTCTTTTCGTAACACCCTATCGGCTGGGACCTGTGGGTAAGCAGTGATTCTGCTCATTCGTAGTACCGTGAGGGTAATACCTCTAATGACTCTACCATGCAGAGTTAAAGCAAATTTCACAAGCAGCCCTTTCATTGCTTTCCACTTTGTGTTACATTCATGGGAAGCTGTGCAGTTCCAGGGTTCAAAAAGTATACAGCCTTCACCTTTTGTTGCAAGTTGTTAGAGATGGGCAGCTAGTATACAACACAAGGTTCACCTATGAACTCCATTTAAAAACCCCATAGGTTTAATGGCTTCCCAAAGAAGAAGAGGGAAGTTCTTACTTGAATACCGGTCAGCATAATATACACTCAGTAAGGAATAGCTTGAGCTATTTGTATCTTTGTTGGATAACTCTTGTAGAGAGAGTCTTATATATAAAGTATATGTTTTTGTTCAATCTGTAAGACTTTGGAGGTGGATAAAGAAATATGGCCATTTCCAAATAGGAGTGGTAGTTCAACTTAGTCTTCGTTTTCTAGGGAGTGATGTGGAACATGGTTATAACCAAGAGGGATTATTTTCAGTTTGCTTACTGAATACCTGTGTAATCTCAAGCAAGTCATTTATTTTATCTAAACCTTAGTTTCCTCAGTTGTCAAATAGGAAGAAGATGCTCAATCTCATGGAGTTGATCCATCACATGAGATAATGTAAAGTACTTTATGACATGTCTAAGAATGATACAAGTAGAATTTAACAATTTTTTAAGAGAGTTTTTTTTTGCTATAGGGCACATGTGCTTGCTGGAGAGAGACAGAGACAGAGAGATAGAAAGTGAGAAATCACCCCCCCCAGGGGGGATGGCCATGCTACAATCCCTTCTCCTCCATTTTCCTCTTGGGCTTTTGGATATATACACAGACACACACCTGGTGTGAGTTTTAAGCTGCTGGGTCTGGGACTCAGACTGCGGTCAACTACATGGGAATCCAGCAATGTAACCATTACACCATCTGCTGGTGCCCAACAATTTTAATTTATGCTTTTGCCTACAAAAATTATTTTAAGGTAAATTAATTAGTAATTTTTCTCCCTCTCTCTACATACCTTAATTGCCCTTGATATAGAAACAAAATGTACATAAATGTAATCAATCATTTTTTATATTAATACTGTTCTCTTTTCTTCATTAGGAAACTAAGAATCAAAAATGCAGTGCTTGCCTATAAAAAGGGTATCTTGATTTTATTTCCCCATTGGCATTTGAGGAAAACCTTTTCCTTTTTCTATACAAAATGGTATTCTTGTGTACTTAAAATAGTTCATGTGACTTTAAAAAGCTCTACAATGGAACTATAATTACAAGAACAAGGAGAATATGATTCATAATCCTTAGATTGCTGGACAATTAAAAACTGTTTCAAACAACTGAAAAAAAGGCAAGCCTTAAGATAATTTTTAAAATGATGTAATAAGGGGAAAACTTAAAACAAAACAAAACAAAACAAAACACTTGTAAGAAATAGCAGGATATGACAGGGATCCAGCACTGCAGAACAGAGTGGCTTGTCAGAAGCTACAATACATACAACTTCACATCGTGTCCTTCAAGGGCATATGTGATTAGTGCTGAGTAGAGAACCAAATAATTAAGTGCAACTTAAAGAATATTAGGAAACTTTCTATTAAGGTTAGAATTAACTCTGGTAAAATAGGTAACTGATGACAACACACAGTCCAGATTTTTCAATTCATATGCAGTCAAAACTGTGAAGGCTCATCATCAGGCAGGGCATGTAGTGTCATTAAATACATGATATTTCCTTCTTAGGTAAAATGGAATTGGTATTTTATACTGGATAACTGGATTTTAAATAATGAAATGCTAGCTTTTTTTAAGAACAATTAATTTTCTTGAATAGAAGTATTGCTTTGCAATTAACACAAAAAATACGCTTACAAAGTAGAAAATTATTCTGTTGGAGCTCTTATTGAATTAAAAGTTTCTTTGTTCTACTGGGCATCTTGATAGTTTAGGATTGATAAAGATGACTTGAAGCTGTTTTTTGGGAAATAGCAAGAGACAGCCAAATTATTCTGTAAAATGGAGTAAAAAAAGTATGTAGTTCCCAGTGGCAAATTGAATGGTAAGGTTGTGGAACAAGATGGGAAAGGAAAGATGAGCCAGTGAAATAGAGCTAGGCAAGAGTACTGCATGGGGTATAGAACTATCCCAGTAATGGAGCGGCCCCAAAGAACTTGGAAGGGAGTCTTAGTCCACTATTGTGTTGCTAACAGAAATATCTGAGACTGGGTGATTTAGAAAGAAGTTTATTTGACTCATGATGCCGGTACCTGGAAAACCCAAAAATGTAAGGCTGTCATCAGGTCAGCCTACAACACCGCCAACAGAAGCAGAGCGAGTGAGTTCTGGGCAGCTCTTTCACTCCCCCACAACCCCATTTTGTTTATTTATTTAATTTGACAAATCAAGAATATTACATATACATTATTTTCAATAGAAAATTTTACATTCTTGGGTCTGTTCAGTGTTTCTTCCTTTTGCCCCTCCCACCCACCCTCGCTCTACCACGTACTCCCTTCCCTTACAAACTCTGGTATCTACACTTATCTTTGCTAAAAGTATATCTTTGGATCTTTCAATTTTTGCCACAGAGTACAAACATTCAGTATATACTGAGCAGGGGTATGTAGTGTTTATGTTTCAAAGTCTGGCTTACTTCACTTAGCAGTAAGTCTTCCCTATTCAACCACTTTGAGTCAAATGATACAGTCACATTGTACCTTATGGTTGAATAGTATTCTATAGCATATGTGTGCCACAATTTTCAACCCAGTCATTAGTTCTTGGGTACTTAGATTGACTCCAGTCTTTGTGATTGAGAATAATGCTGCAATAAACATGGAAGTACAAGTGTTGTTCCAATCTAATGCTTTCCTAGCTTTTGGGAAATACTGAGAAGTGGGATTACTGGATCAAATGGTAATTCTTTTTGTAGGTTTTTGAGGAAACTCCATATTGTTTTCCACACTGTCTGTACCAATTTTTCCATCAAGGAGGGTTCCTATTCACAGATGCTATTGAGTAGGAGGGTTCCCTTTTCTACAGCCTCACTGGCACTTGTTGTTTTTTATTTTTGACCATTCTGATTGGCATTAATTGGTGTCTCATTGTGTTTTTTTTTTTTTTTTTTGAGAGAGATTTTCGCTATAGGGCGCGTGCGCTCGCCAGACAGAGAGAGACATAGAGACAGAAAGCGAGAACTCACCCCCCAGGGGGGATGGTCACGCCGCAATCCCTTCTCCTCCATTCTCCTCTCGGGATCTTGGGCACGCACGCACACGCGCCCGGCGTGCGTTTTAAGCCACCGGGTCCGGGACGCGAACCGCGGTTGACTATGTGGGAGTCCAGCGACATAGCCATTACGCTAACTGCTGGTTCCCTCATTGTGGTTTTGATCTGTTTTTTCCTTATTGTAAGAGATGTTGAACATTTTCTCATAGGCATTTTGCCTCTTTATATGCGTTCCTTCGAGAGTTGTCTGTTCAACTCATTTGGCCATTATTGGTTTTGTTTGTTTGTTTTTTTGTGGGTGAGCTCCTTGAGTTCCCTATTTATTCTGGTTATCAGTCCTTTAGCTGAAGCATAACTTGCAAATCTTCCAAATGTTTTCTCCCATTCTCTTTGTTGTCTCTTCAATCTATGTTTCCTTTGCTGTGCCAAAATACCTATGAAAAAGTGTTTAATTCTGTTTCATTTATTTCAGCTTTAATCTTTATTTCTTTTCTTCTAGTGTGTGTGTGTGTGTATGTATACATACACACGTGTATATACACATATGCATGTATATACACGTGTGTATGTGTACCCATATATACATATGTATATATGTGTTTTTGTGTACCCACATATATGTATGTGGGTATACACACGCGCACACACACACACACACACACACACACACATGCATAGTTTTTTTTTTCTGTTCTTTGAGCTGCATCAACAAGTTATTTACCATCCTTGTATTTTTTTTTCTTCTGAGCACTAATTGCTGTGAGCCTCCCTCTAATGGCTGTTTTCACGGTGCTGTGCAGGTTCTGGGAAGTATATGTTCATTATCATTGGTTTCAATATGTCTTTTTGTCTTAATTTCTTAAGCAGTTTTGAAGTCATTTACAAGAAGGTTGTTTAATTTCCATATTTGTGTGTGATTCCAAGGGCTCTTTCTGTGTTTGATTTCAAGTTTAATTCTAATGTGGTCAGAGAAGATGCTGGATCTAGTTTCTATACTTTTAAAATTGTAAAGGCTTATTTTGTGCCCTATTGTTTGGTCAGTCTTTGAAAATGTTCCATGTGAGGATGAGAATGAGAAAAAAGTGTAACTTGTATTCACTGGGTGAAATACTCTATAAATACCTCTCAAGTCCAATTCGTTTATGGCATTAATTAACTCCTGTGTCAATTTTTATTTAGATGATCTGTCCATTTGTGACAGTGGAGTGTTGCAGTCAGTCTCTCCCTTTAGATCTAGCACTCTTTGCTGTACACATTTGGATGCCCTGGATTTGGGTGCATAAATATAATTGTTGTATCTTCTTTGCAAATTAATCTTTTTAATACTATATAGTAAATTTGTCTCTTTTTACCATTTTTATCTTGAAATCTATTTTATCTGATATCAGTATCACAACTCTGGCCTTTTCTGGCTTTTGTTTGCATGAAATGACCCTATCCCTTCACATTCAACTTGTGTATTTCCTTATCAGAAGTATGGTTCTTGAGAATTCTTGGGTTTTCTTTTTTTTTTTAATCTATTCAGCCAATCTATTTCTTTAAATTGGGGGGTTCAATCCATTAACATTCCAATATTATCCATATATTTGGATTTATCCCTCTCAATTTGTTAGTGATTTTTTCAGTTGTTTTATTATCACTTACTTCTATTTGTTTCCCTTTCATTTTCCTGGTATACTATTTCCTTGAGTATAGACCCTGAAAAGTTGGTCTATTGTTGCTAAATTCTTTCAGTTTTGTTTATCTGGGAATGATTATACTTCTTCTCAACTGAATGATAATCTCACCTGGTATAGTATTCTTGGTTGACATCTTTTTTGTTTTCCCTTTTCAGGGTTTGAAATATGTCTTCCAGTTCTTTTCTTGCCTGCACTGCTTTGGTTGAGAGGTTTGATGTTAGTCTAATGGGGTAACTTTGTAAGTAACTTGGATTTCTCTCTTGCTATTGTCTTTGAGTTTCTCCCAGTTTGGCTATTTCTTGGATGTAGATATTTATAGATTTCTCTAGATTTGGGAAGTTTTTCAGATATGAGAGAGTTTCTATGCCTTTACCCATTTTTCACCTTATGAAATACCCAGTATGTGGATATTTGGCTGCTTAATGGTGTTGTAGTTTGTCCTCATTTTTCCTTTTCTTTGCAGCTTGGACTAAATCATTGGTTTTGTATTCAAGGCCAGATTCTTCTGTGTGGTCTAGTTTGCTGTTAATACTTTCAATAGAGGTTTTCATTTCCTGTATCATATTGTTCATCTCCAGAAGTTTTGCTTCTTTTATAGGGTGTCTCTTTATGGAATTATTCCTTCAAATCATGGAATAATTTTCTCATCTCCTGGAATTGATTGTCTGTTTTCTCTTGCATCCCATTAAGTTTTTTTTACAATGAATATTCCGAATTCTTTTTCTAACAGTACTAATTTCTTGTGTTCTTTACATTGTTCATTGGAAGTTATTTTCCTTTGAAAATTTGTGAGTGATCTGCTTTGATTTTCAGGCATCTGGGGAAGTGCTCCATTTCTACTTTTTTGGATAGGTTTCTGCAGCTGTATACTCATGTGCTTCCCTATTGGTATGTGTTAGTTCTTCAGTTTCCTTATTCTTCTATGGGTGGGAGTGCTGGAATTCACAGGAACTTGGGGGTTTGGAATTTCAGAGGGGTGTTTTTATCCATTAGAAATGGAGGTTGGGGAGAATCTCTTCAGAGCCACAGTATCATTAGGTAGTTGGTTCCTTTCTCAATATCTCTGACCCCAATGTGGCCATGGGCTGTGCTGGAAAGGCAGAATGTGAAGGAATAGCACAGGTCATGGGCTGCCTCTTACCTTGCTCTAGCTGGTCAGAAGGGGTGAGGTGGCAAATGGCACTCCAGCCAGATGGAAAGTCCCTTCCTTCCTGTCTCCAACAAGACTGGTGTGACATAGGGCAGTGAGTGAATCACAGTAAGGCTTAGAAAGCCTCCTACTTCTTCTGGGGGGCTGGAGAAGGGGTATGGCTGTGAACAGCATGCTGGATGGATGGAAAGTCATTTTTTCCTATCTCTGACAACACTGACATGGGGTAGGGTAGGCAGTGAAGCACCGGCTGGACTATAGACAGCATCCTACCTGTGCCAGTTGATCAGATGGGGAGTGGGATTGCAAACAGCATGCCAGCCAGATGGAAAGTTCCTTCCTTTCTGCCTCCAATGAGACTGGAGTGAGGCAAGGCAGTGAGTAAAACACAGTCCCATCTCTTTCATTCATAACAACCCTCTCTTGCAAGAACTTAGTTCTCTCATAAAACAGTATTAAATCTGTTCATGAAACTAGAGCCACTATGACCAAACTCCAAAACATTAACTATTGGGAAATAAACCATTGTCTAAACTCTAGCAAGAGTCATTGATGTCTGAGATCTAATTTGAAGTCTTTTTGCATTTATGTAATGTGACCCCACACACTGCCACCTTAATCTTTATTAAAGTCTTTCACAGACAAACCCCTTGTATGATGACCCCGAGTAGGTATAGACTGAAGAAGCAATGAGTCCTGAGTCTGCACTCATGTGTCACAGAAATAAAACAGGCACTGTATATACATGGGCTGATGAGGTGATTGTCCAAATTAATCACTTGTTGGAAGCAAGAGTCAGAGCCATAGGAATCCTGGGATGGTTCAGCTAATCAATCTAAACTTGGTCTATACTTACTGAAAAATATAAATAGGAGAACTTATGGCAAAAAACAAAAACCCTACTGGAATCAGGACCTCAGAAGGTTTATTTATGCTGACTGAAAGATGCTATCTATATAGTGTATGTATATAAAGCTGAACCATCATTCAATTTCAGAAATTCTGTGAATCCCTTTGACATGATTAAGAAAAAGGGACTGAAAACTATCTATAGCATTTACTTGTATATCTAGAAAGATACTTAGATTTCTGGTAATTTTAATAGTAATTATATATATCTTAGAAGATAGAATTTCATCTTCCTCTAAAATTTTTGTACTTTTTCAAAATTTCACAACTGGACATATTTTAATTTTTATAATAGAAGAAATTTAAAAACAAATCTGACATATTTGTACTTGCTACATTAAGTCAACTGGAAAAAGTTTAGGCCACAAATTTTTAGTTTTTTTTTTTTTTTTTTTTTAGTTTTTTTTTTTTTTTTGCAATCTGTTTGTAATTTTTGGCTTTAAGAAAACTCCATGTCAGGACCAGCAGTTGGCGTAATGGCTATGTCGCCGGACTCCCATGTAGTCGACCCCAGTTCAAGTCCCAGGTTCAGTGGTTTAAACTCACACCAGGCATGTGTGCGTGCGTGCCCAAGATCCTGAGAGAAGAATGGAGAAGGAGAAGGGCTTGTGGCATGGCCATCCCCCCTGGGGAAGTGATTTCTCCCTTTCTGTCTCTCTGTCTTTCTGGTGAGTGCACGTACCCTATCGCAAAAACCTCTCCAAAAAAAAAAAAAAAGAAAACAGCATGCTAGAGGCCAGATTATTAAATTATGAGAGACTAATGAGTCTAAATTATATGTGATTGACAATTACATGTTGAGCATCCCTAGTCTGAAAATCCAAAATACACCAAAATCTGAAACTTTGAATGCCAATATGATACTCCAAATGAAAAATTCCACACCTGATTTTATGTGACAGGTCAAAATGCTACAATATAAAAATACTGTATAAAATTACCTTCAGGCTGTGTGCATAAGATGCATATAAAAAATTCTATGTTTAGACTTAAATCATACTTCCAAGGTAGCTCATTAGGTATATGCAAATGTTCTAGAATACAAAACACTACTCACCACAAGCATTTCAGATCAAGGATACTCAACCTGTAATAAATAATCTCCAGAGAATCGTTTGCTCCAGATGGTAAAACAAGTGCTAGATGATCCCCAGGATTTTTCCCAACATAATTGTGCTGAGGATTGTGAGATCATGCATTACTAATCTGTAGCTCTAGCTTCCTGGGCTAGAGATAAGTCCTGGGAGGGTCTAAATTCCCAGAAAGGCAGAAAGTGTTCCATGAGAAACGAAAAAGTATAATCTGTAACTTGGATGCCTGAAATACCGATTCCATCCTGGTTCCGTGTTCAGAGGCATTTTTGCATAAGACTTAACTCATGGGTAGTTTGAGGTAACAGTAGTAGCATGACTTGGTTTACATGCAAGAACTCGTGAAATCTACAGATTTATTAAGGGGGGGGACACAACTGACACTGGGAAGTGTCCCTTGACCACTCTCCAACCTGAATCTGGAGCACAGCGAGGTCAGCGTCCAGAGATCTCTTGGCTGGCAGTAATTTCTGAGTCACACGAATCTGCCTTTGCTTCTCAGCAATCCTCAGTTTCAGGAATCTAATCTTTTCTTCCAGGACATGTAGTTCAATTTCTCCATTCAGTTTCATCTTCTCCTGGATATTTATTTTTTCATAAAAAATGCACACTTCCTCTTCTCGCTCTATCAGCTGAACGCCACTAGGATCAAATTCAGAGTCAGAGGCTAAGTAGGTGCTAAGGTGACTGTCCTGGTGTTTGTGGTTCTAACTGTGAGCACAAATATATGCATCAATATTGCATAATTCCATAAGACAATGATATTTACCAATGATGCACTAGTTAAACTATACATTTTGAATTTTTTCTGGGGATAGAAGTGTTTAGTATCTCAGTTCTAAGGCTGACCATATGATTGGCTGGCCACAGTGTCCCTACAAGTCCCAAAGGTTTCCTCCCGGTGGGAAAGAATTACTCTCAATGCATGAACAAAGTGATTTCATAGTCTGATTTGCTGCAGACCCTTTTCTTGGGCCAGATTTGCCAGGCCTGGCCAGAAGCAGGTAGGCCTGGGGCCAGAAAATTCCTGGAGCAATTCTGCTCTGTACAAGCTGCCAGCCCATTAGGTTTTTTTTTTTTTTTTTTTTTTAAAGTTAAATATTGTGATGCTAATTTCCCCATAGACAGGCAAAAATGTTTACCCTTGGGGATAGACCCCCCTTCTTTAAGAGAATATAGAGAGGAAGCAAAGTAAGAATTTTCTAGCTGTAGCCATTCTGGTTTGCATGATTGATCCTGCCCCATAGATCCGACCAGGGCATAGGAGCACACTGTTTTGCCTAAATGCTTTCGTTTGTGCCAGAAACCAAACAGGACTTTTCCCCCCGAGAAAACACCTGTCAGCTCTTTGGAAATGTGCTATTTTTCAAAGGACCCTAAAGGTCTTCCCACACACTCTGTATACCCATTATCCCAAAGTTCCCCCATTAATTGGTTCTGTGTTTTTTCTCTCTTCCCTCAAAACAAGTATGTACACAGTTGTACTTGGCTAATCTTTCTATTTTTGTCTTATTTCCCTTTCAAAGGCTCTACTCATCATCAAGTTCTCCTGACAACAGAAGTCAGGAGCAATGTTTCACTACCCTTTTGTGCTCCTGGTGTCTAGCGCTCTAATGCTTCACACAGAAGGACATACAATCTATGTTTGATGGAAAAAAATACTATATTTCATTACTACAGAGCTTTCCAGTCTCATATTTCAATTCTCATAGCACTGAACTCCGAGGAAATTGATGTAATAGTCAACTGATTAATGACATAATTATAGAAAAAAATAATACTGCTCCTAAATTCTTATTCACTGCTGAGAAAATGAACTGGGAGAATGGCTTACCAAATATAATAAGAACAAACCTGCTGCAAAAGTGAATAGTTTCCAAAGACATATTTATGTCAAATAAGATGTTCTGAGAGGCATCGTCTGGAAGTCTTGGAAAGGACTTAACCCTCAAGCAAACACTTTCCCAAACTACTTTCCTCTTTCTCTTCTGAGGAAAGCATTTCTTATTTTTAGGGGAAGCACACAACTACCTCCAAAGGCTAATGAAACCTGAATGTCCCTCACTACTCACCATTGAGTCTAGAGGTAGCATTTCATTTCATTGTCAAAAGGCATGTGTGCTCACCAGAGATGGAGGAAGAGAAAGCACCTCCTCCCCACAATGGGGCATAGTCATGCTATAATCCCTTTTCCTCATATGTCTCCACCTAGTTGAGATTTTGGGCATGCTCGCACATGTATGTACTGGGTTGTCAGAAAAGTGATGTATTTTTCTGTGCAAAAAAATGTCACAACTTCTGACAACCCAAAATTTTCAAGCTGCTGAGGCCAGGATTTGAAATGTAGTCAGCCACATAGTATCTGGCTCTCTGAACAGCTGGGCTGAGGGGCCCAGACCTCCTTGATGGCATTCCTAAACTGGATTCTTTGGTACTCTGTTCTCACTCTAGATTCCTGATTTTTACCTTTCGTTTCGATGCTGAACAGCCTTTTCATATTTTTTGCGAAGCTGCACCATCTCCTCTTCAATCATTGTGATCATATTGGCAAGTCTGTCAATGTTGTTTAACTGGGTTTCCTTCTTTTCTCTCATTTCCTGAAGTTTTGCTACAATTTTGCACACGTCGTTTTGCATACTTTCTCTAATAGTAACATTGTTGGCATGTTTCAGCATGGAATTTTGTAGTTTTCTTTTAAAATAATGGGACAATGGATAAGATTAGAATTTTCTTTAGTTTCTGTAAAAACAATGAAGGTTTCTGGGATATGAGCAGTAACAAAATTGCTCTTTGCTTTACTGTATCCCTTGAAATGAAAGTCTTAGCAGTATGGTCATAATGATGACCGTATTTATCATACCACACTCTTCAGGAATTGTCTTCTTCCTGGGTCTCAGATCTTCCCTCTATCCAGACTAGGACACCATTCCTTTTTGCCCCATGGTGTTGCTGCCACTCTTTATCAAAGCACATGAAGTAGTCATTTATTTAGGGCTCTGTCACCCTGGGGAGACTGTGCTTTCTTGAGGACAGAGATGGTTCTATCTGAAAGTGTCCATTGGACCTAAGGTAGTGTCTAAATCAGTGTACAGTCCTGTAGATGCTGCATGAGTGAATGGCCTCTATAAAAGGTATTTTACTTTCAGGAAATGTTTTCTTTATTACCCCTACTTCCTGCCCTGACCAACTGAGGGCATTTTGTAATCTCTTTACTGAAGGAAACGAGGGGATAATGAGCACTCTACAACTCAGATTGTATAGACTCAGCAGATCAGGGACTGACCTGAGCAAGAGAGTCTAACAGATCTTGCCTCATGGTAAATACTAAATTAGCAAAACAACCATTTGCCAAGCATTCTTTTGAGTGTTCTTACATGGATTAGCTCATCTAATAATAAGTTGTATGGAATAATAACTATTTTTATGGATAAGGACAGTAAGCCCAGAGTGGTGAGGTAGTTTACACAAGGTCACATAGCTAACAAATGGCACGGTTGGGATTTGATCTTGAAGCCACCCCTTTTAACCGCTCTATGTTGTTTTCTCTTTCTATAAGCACATTAGATGCTTTAAATCTACAACCTGGGAAAGCTATTTAATAAATAATTTGATTGCCTCCAAACTTCAAATGGAAATTACTGGATTTGTGTTTTTCTTTGTAATTGAGCAGATGAAAATCCTAGTAAGCTTAAATATATATTACAGGTTTTTCACTCATCTAACAACAACAACAAAAAGTCTCCTAAATAGAAGGATCGGGAACTGTGTTCAGGTGCTTAGATTATCATCTATAAACAAGATGTTTGAACAAGGGCTTTTCCAGCTCTTTAAAAGACTATTGTTTTCTGTTTTATAATCTCCGGGACAAAGTTCAAATAAATCAGAAGGACAAGCCTTTGAAAAGGCAATAGGCCTAGGGCAGTGGCACAAGCAGGAGGGCATCTCTGCATAGTGGCTGAGGCCACATGGGAGGCTTGGATTTGGTTCCCAGCCCAAGTGAAATAGGTGGGTGGTGATGCACACCTGTGGTCCTCACACACTGAGAGGCAGGGGCAGGAGGATAGTGAAGTGGTGAGATTCCATCAAAAATCCTTCTCTCTCTCTCTCACCCTCCTCCTCTGGCACAAATTCCCTCTCAACTGAAAAAAAAAAAAAAAAAAAAAAAAAAGATTGTAATACTTACCTTTCTTGAGTAACTGCACTGTTTCTTAAAATCTCAAGTTCATTTAATGACATTTTATGCCTTTCCTTTATTTCATTTACTTTCTGGTGAGCTTTGTGAAGCAAGTTAACAAATTTGTTTCTTTCATTTCGAATAGTGTCATACAATTTAGCAAATTCTCTGAGTCTGTGAAAATACAAAGTGTTTTTCAAAACTTGTGAAATAAAAATTAGTTTTGTCCCCCACCTCAGTAGATACATCATTATGTAATTCTTTTACCTCCGATGAATTTCACGTTTTTTCTTTTTGTGTATCCTGATTTCAAGATCCTTTGCTTTGATTTCCTTAACACTGTTGGTATGTTTTTGCTGAAATGTAAGAATTTTGTGTGAAATAAACAACAACATATGAATACTCCCAGCTTTACCTCATATCATTCCCGTCTATTAAGGAAATCCTACTTTGGCCTGCTGGTGTAAGAAAATAGCCTAAGTAATTCATTTTCAAGAATAGCTTAACAAAAATTGCTTAAGCAACTTGCAGATGTGACAACCCCAGACAGTACACATTCCCAGAAAGTTCCTGAGCAAATGAAATCCAAAAACAGGTCACTCTTGAGAAATTACTTCTCAAGATGGTGGTTGGTCATCATCCCTTTGTTCCTTTTTACTTCCTAGTTCTTCTCCCACCTCAGGACATTTGGTAGATCTTTTTGTTGTGGGCTTATCCTGAGCCTGTGCCATTTCATTGAACAGGAGAAGGAAGGGGACAATAAATGCCTTATCAGGGGATAGTAAAACTCAGGCGATGTCTTGGAAGATTGTACACCCCATAGTACTCAGCCAATGGGGAACTGGGTAAGGGACTTTGAGCACGAGGGATTAAGTTGCTTTTTGTAACCATTTTGATGCCTGCTCATCAGGCACCCAATCTTGCAGGACCACCATTAAAGTCAGCTTTGCCATACCTCCTGTCTCCATGTCCATTCGTTGGCATTGGATGGGTGAGCATGTTTCTCACTGCTAGGTTGGGCAAATTGGGGTGAGGGCTAGAGGGGAGATCTGACAATTCCTAGCCCAGCTGCATTGATTCACATGGACTAGAACAAAGCATTCCTTGAAGAGAAAGAAGAGAGAGAAGAAAAGAGCCCAGACAGGTTGGGGTTGAGGGGAAGTTTGCGGAACGTTTGAGAGAGAGGAAGAATGATTATGGACTGCCCAGCTAGTCTATGTGGGTGTGGGGTTTATGAGAGAGAAAAGGGAAGAAGACTTGTAAGTTTTGAGAAATGTTATGAATTGAACCCTCTATGGTAATTCGTGAAAGGTTGAGGCAATGATTTAAAGTGCTTTTTCATTCTTTTGTATATTGAGTATGTGGATATCTTCCTACACAACAAAGCACCATGTTGAAACCAGCTGTAAGGTGTTAAGTTACATATAAAGATTTTAGAAGAAAGCAGTTATAATTCTTTTTTTTATTAAAGAATTATTTTGTTTAACTTTATTTAATTTGACCAGAGAGGGACAGAGTGAGAGAGAGAGAAAGAATGCAAGCAAGTCGCCAGGTCCGGGACTCAAACTGCAGTCAGCCATGTCCAGTACCCATAACCACCATTCCATCTGCAGCTCTGAAAGCAGTTATAGTTCTAAAGTTCTAAAAATGTACAGTAGTACTAAATACAGTAGTTATGTTCTTCAAATTTAAAGACAGTGGGTCTTATCTAGGATAAGAAACATTCAAAAATGAGGTATTTGCTGATAGAAACTAAAGAAAACAGTTTCTGTCAGCCTTCTCTCAAGGACCAAGAGCACAAAACCCATTTGGCATGACTGAAAAGAAACTAGTCATTGGAGCTAAGCTTGATGTGTAGCAATTTCGTTCTCAGTGAGGATGAGAGTCAGAAAGACACGGATATTTAAGTAACTGAATATGTGAAGAATAAACACATAGGGCCAACTTATAGCATACTGGTTAAGGCTGGGGGATCCCACATGGCTGACCACATGGTTCAAGTTCCAGAACCAGCAACTTGAAAAAAACATGCCAGATACATGTGTGCACATGCTCCAGATCACGCCCCCACCCCATCTCCCTGCAAGCTCACTTGTTTTATGGCAAATGAAAAAAATAATAAATACTGGTCTCATTGTCTTCTGCCCATCTTCCCATGTGCCAACCATGCAGAACTTCTTTCAGTTTCTCAGATGTAAAGATGGAAAAAAATAAAGGGGGATGTGAAGTTTCCTTTGGGGTAGTGTGATGCAGAGCTTCAAGTCTACTCTGCAAAATTGACTTTAGCTCACTGTTCACTAATGCTTGGTGTGAGTGCTTTCTGCAGATGGAGAAGAAATGCCATCCCTGAATCATGCATACTTACAACAAAAGTTGTACTTAGAAACAGCCAACATCTGGGTCACATGATAAATTCTGTTTCAGTACTTTGTCCTTTCATATTCATTTTTTCTTTTAAGATTTTTGCAATAGAGAGTGTGTGCTTACTGGAGAGAGAGAGAGACAGATGGACAGAGGGAAAATGAGGAAATCACTCGCCCTCAAGGGGAGATGGCTATGCCACAGTCTCTTCTCCTCCATTCTTCCCTTGGGATGCACACGTGCCTGGGTGATTTTTGAAGCTGCTGGGTCCATGGTTCAAACCACAGTAGACCATGTGAGAGTCCAGTACCTTAACCACTGTGGCACCTGCTGGCCCCTACACCTTCTTCTTAATGCAATTGCCATCTGTTCAAATTCTTTGCTCGTTGTCATTGATCTATCTCTTTCCCCCTCTGGATTGTTGACTATTGATAACTAAACCTGGGATCTATTTCTCAGTGCACTATTGAGTCATTTAGGGAAGAATTAGTCACTGGCACTTGAAGACCACTTACAATTAACATTCTAATGAATGCTGAATTAAAATGAGGCTACTCTGAACTTGTAGCGATTAATGAATGGTTACAAAAATGCAGTTACCTGAGCTTTCAGGAAATCCTTGGACTTTTGCTCCCTTTCATCAATCTTGATTTGAGTCATCCGAACAAGGTTGAATACCAGCTCTCGCATGTTCTCCTGCTCCTTTATAAGCTTGTTTTCTTCTGCAATTTGTTGTTCTACTAACTTAGACTCAGTGTCTGAGAGGACTTTCTTTTGAAAAACATAAGATAATAATTATAATTTATTTGAAGAAATGCTATAGGTCTAAGTATCTTAGGCTATCTTTTTAATTCCCATATAGACTTTAATTTACTAAAACAATTCTGCCTTAATTTAATTTTTTTCCTTTTGTTTTATAAAACAATGTGCAAACCAATGGGTTAATATGATAGAGCCTTCTCTTGTTCAGGTTATATTTGTTTGCAAATACCCTTAAGAAAAAGAGGAGACATAAAAGTATGTTTTAAAATACTTCGATAGTAGCTTGAATAAACAAAGTTTACAAATCTTTTGTTATATATTGGAAAGATAAAACATTTGTTTACTTTTAATATAACCAATAGCCCTTTTTTGTTTGTTTTTAATTAATGAATTAATTTTATATTATATTTAATCACATATATCTTTACAGTGTATATCATTTCTTTTTCCAGCATGATTACCATACATATCAGTCAAGACAAAGACATTCCTTTGCATATCATCAGCAGCAAATAGCTTTTCATTGTTTTGGCAATTAAATGTACTTTTTTTCCCCCTTTTTATTCCTATTTCCCTCCCTCCCTTCATTATCCACCCCCATATTACCCCTATCCTTACTATCTTTAGTATCTACTGTTGCCCTCCCTGCGACTATCTTTTTCAAACTTTCAGTTTCTGGCATAGAGTGTAGATAATCAGTAAGTATATTGATATAATCACTTATTGAGTGGGCTCATACAAAGTCTGTCTTTCATAGTCTGACTTGCTTCACTTAGCATTAGATCTTCCATATTGGTCCACTTTGTATCAAATGTTAGGGTTTCATTATTTTTTATAGATGAGTAGTATTCCACAGAGTATATATATATGCCATGGTTTTTCAATCCAATAATCTATTTTTGGACAGTTGGGTTGATTCTATGTCCTAGTGATTGTAAATAGTGCTGCAATAAACATGAATATGCAAGTGTTTTTCTGACTAAGGGTTTTTCTATCCTTTGAGTAAATATCTAAAAGTGGAGTTACTGGGTTGTATGGTAGTTCTATTTGTATGGTAGTTCTATTTGTAAGGAATTTGCATATTGTTCTCCAAAGTGGATGTACTAATTTACATTCCCACCAGTGAAAGAGAGTTCCCTTTTTTCACCACAGCCTTGCCAGCACTTATCATTATTTAGTTTCTTGATTTTAGACATTCTAACTGGGGTTAAGTGTACCTCATCATGGTTTTGATTTGCATTTCCCTTATAATAAGAAATGATACATGAAATGTCAAACATGTTTTCATATGCTTTGGGGCTATTTGTGTGTCTTCTATAGAGAATTGTCTGTTAAACTCCTTTTCCTATCTTTTAATTGAATTGATATTTTTTTGTGGGTAAACTGATCAATAGCCCTTTTATTTTAAAAACTAATTAGTTTGTATACTTTTTGCCAGTTCAAACACATTCTTTTTTCCTCAAATTTCATGTGGGATTAAAGTGTACTCTGAGTAAACAAAGGCCCACATTGAACAGGATCATCCTCTCTTAAAGACTCTCTTACTAATGAGATTTCAAAACACAACTCGGAGGCTGGCAGGTGGTGTAGTGGTTAAGGATGCTAGACTCCCACATGGCTGACCATGGATCAAGTTCCGGACCTGGTGGCTTGCTTTCTCACTTTCCTCTCTTTTTCTGTGTCCCTCTCTGGTCAAATAAAAATGAATAAATAAAGTTAAACCTTTAAAAACAACCAAAAAAAATACAACTTTGTATTAGCCATTCTTAGGAATCTAAATGAGAATTAATACTAACCTGTTGGGTCAAATTCCTCTTAGCTATTTCAACTTCCTTGTGGAGCTCTCTCCTTCTTTCAGATAGTGTAGTGTCATCTTTAGGGATAGCTTCAATCTGGAAATCAAAATTTAAAACCAGTATTTATAAAAGAAAGGAAATCATTAATGCCATATAGTCAACTCCATCACAAACTTTTGAAAATGGGATCAAATCATGATTTGTAATCTTTTTATTTTTAAATTTTTGCTACAGTGTGCATATGCTTGCTGGAGAGAGAGAGAGAGGGAGAGAGGGAGGGAGAGCCTCCTCCCCTCCCCTCCTCAGGGGGAGTGGTCATGCCACACTCCCTTTTCCTTCATTTCTCCATGTTTTCAGAATTTGGGGCATGTATGCATGTGCATCTAGTGTGTTTTTCAAGCTGCTGGGTCTGGGACTTGAATTGTGCAGTTGGCCACGTGGGATGCAGCTGCCTAACTACCATACCACCAGCTGGCCCCATGATTTGTAATTTTACTGGAACTTTCTGTCATGCTAAATACTTTTTTTATAAAGTCAAGGCAAACTAAAACATAGAAACCTGAGACTCATTAGCTACAAATATTTATTATCCATTAAGAAAAACGTTTTACTAATGGTTAATATTTATGGAACATTGACTAAGTGTTCAGCAATATTCTATATGATTATATATGATCTTACATAATCCTCACAATAAATCCATGAGGTAGGTAATCAATTGAGACACAAATACATGTAAGCAAAGTTTGTCCGTGGTGCAGGTGTAAATTTAGGCAGTTAGACTCTGATCCCATGAACTTAGCACTGCATTGTACTGCCTCTCTAACTCATGGCTCAGCACTTTGGAAACATGCATATACTATGACTATTCAAATAATAGCTAGTATACTCATAAAATGTGAGTTCATTTATGAAGTTCTATAGGCAAAAGAAAAACATAGATGCGATTAATAACAGAATAGTTTACTTATATATAGTAGTTGGATAAGCATCAGGAAAGTTCTTACACAAAAGAAATCCTCTTAATTATTTTCTGATACTTAACATTTCACCATTACATTTCTGTTGTATTGGCTTGCACTTTTACTCTGTGTTCAAGTACTTTTAAGAGAAGGCAACATCTCATTCTGTCAGTATTTTTGCCCTATTAGTAATGAGTTTGTCAGATTTCTTTCTGAAGTGTGCAGAGGGGAGGACACATGGTAGCTGTTGGGAGAAGAGGTGCCATCCAAGGCTACAGCAAGGGTCAGGGTCATCTTGGGGTGCTAAAGGCCTATTTGACTTGGAGCAAGTTTTGAGTTGAGCAGGTTTTATGTATGTATGTATACAGGTGTGTGTGTGTGTGTGTGTGTGTGTGTGTGCGTGTGTGTGTGTGTGTATTTTTGCTAGCTGGTGTGTGCTCTTTCCAGAGAGAGGGGGAGAAGAGAAAGCAGCCTCCATGGGGAATGGTCATGCTGCAATCCTCTCTGTGTTCCCTTTTTCCTTTTGGGATCTCGTGCACACACATATGCGTTTGGTGTGTTTCTCAAGCTGCTGGGTCTAGGACTTGAGCCATGCAGTTGGCCATGTGTGATCTGGCTACCTTAGCAACCAGCCCACAGAGCAGGTGCTAGAGTTGGCTTTTATAATAAAAGCACATAGCTCCAAGCTGATGTGGTTCATTTCCTTCTGTGACAGCACATACTTCTAGGCACTAAGGTTAAATACTGGCAAAACCTTGCCCTAAGGAGAAAATATCAATCACACTGTTTAGTTATTTAACAGTCACCTAACAGGATATTTCTGAAGACCATGCTGGTATTTTAAAATGGTTACGGTGTGTCTTTTGAAGCTCCATCATCCATGAATCAGTGTGCCTTCAGTAGCCCCTTCTGTACCCTCAGGTGCCCAGTGATGTCCTGTGGACTCTCATACCAGAGGGTACTGGCCACTGAGAAACAAAAACGACTGAGGACGACGAGACATGGTCTTGTGAAACACATATAACAATACACAGAATTTTGTGGTTATAATGAACAGATAATTGTATAGCAGAGTAGAAAAGGGAGAACTTGATATAAAGCTGAATAGTCAGGAAAGACCTCCTGGAAAAGGTGAGAAGTCAGCAAGGATGAGCTTGATTTTTCCTTGTGGAAAACTAAGTTAAGCCCTCCTAGACACAGGAAGACCAACAAGCATCCTGAGTTTCCCTCTGGTTCTCTGCTGGCGAGTATAGGCCAGTCTGCACATGAATGCTAACTGGGACTAGGACAGCTGGTAAGATTTTTACAGACAATATGATTAGAACACACTCACCAACTGCTATGTCAACTAAAGGCTCTGGACAGGTTTTTCTAGTTTGAGGTCTTGGACATTTTGCTGATTGCCAATGTTCTGAAGTACAGGTATTACCATGAGAAGCTAGCTGCTTCTCCGACACCTTTTCCAACTCTCCATAAAGCCCAGCCCTCTAGTTTTAGGCAAGAATTAGGTATGCTTGGTTTGTGGAAGAGATAACTGGGGGTGGCATGGGTAGGAGAGCATCCTGGGTGCCTTGGCAATATCCGCCTTTGATCTTATTGACAGAACTCCATTTCTATTCAGAGCTGCAAATGTCTCAGATTGCTTTGCGGGGTGGGGGCGATCATATGAGCAAGGACAAGTAAATGGAAGTCTGTTGCATAGGGCTCCTGGGAAAGTAACTTTTTCTGATAAAAAGAGCAGGTCATGTCAGCTACATGTACCTTTTGCTCTCTGCCTTCCCTGCGTCTTGTACGAGCTTATGCTTTAAGGTAGAATGGTCACTTTGCTAACGTGGAGAAGAAACGTATATAAAATCATGACCAAAAAAGGAGTTAAAATAACCCTGGATGCTTTGTTATGTGAAGTTACCCAGTGTACCAATCTCTGGACTTTTTTATTTTGTGAAGCCATTATAGCTAAGTTTCTGTGACTTGCTCAAGCCAAAATGCAAACCTAACTGATATATTTTTTGGAAGGAAACCATTGCAGAGAGGAAGAAAAAAAGTACTGAAGTTTTAATTATGTAGTCTGAGGTGACTTGAGATATTTACCACTACTTTTGGCCTAAATTGTATATATCCATACATTAGCAGATTTTCTAAGCTTATTTAATACATTGGTTTCATTTTTATAGAGTAACATTTCACACTTTAAGAAAAGTGTTTATTGTAATCAAACAACACAACTGTGTGAAGTAAGAAATTAATCATCTTTTGCTCCTTACTTCTATTTTAAATACTTCCCTCAGAAAACACTGTTAATAGCTTTGGTGTCTATTCCAGATATTTTCAATGTGTGAACAAATATCGGTAACTTTCATGAAAGTTAAGAAGTTAGACGTTTTGCTAGTTAACATCCCAACTGTTTGTTACCAGTGACACTCTGTTTAATGCTTTGATATTTGGGAAAAAAAAATCCAAGCTTTCATGAGGCTTGTGTCTTGAGTTTCTGGGATAGTCAAATGCCACAAGAAAATCAAACAACAATCCCTAGGGGAAGATAAATTCTGAAGGATAGCCAGGGCCCTTCATGCTTACCTTTTATCTCCCTCTTTGGAATGCACGCAAATCTGAGATGTTCACCAGGCTAGGAGTGACTGACCTGACCCACTCCTGTTTTCAAGTACTGCCAGCTGTGGTCAGTGGCTAGGCTAATTATAAGTCATAAGGTCAAAGAGGAAGTTAGTCCCTTACTGAAACTAGGACAAAAACAGATTTTTCTTGAAATCAGTGAAGAGACTTTTAATATAGGATTTTAATTCAGGAATAATATAGTCATCTAATATGAAATCATTTTATATTCTATGGGTGCTATTCTGTGTACTTACTAGCTAGTAATGTCATAAAGAGCTTTTATTTGTTAAAACCTGAACAGTAACTTGTGAGCAGCCCATTACAAACTCTTTTTAGTTAAGGGTAATTCATTTCATATATTGTGCACAGCCAGATCAACTTATTGGTGACAAGCCTCACTATCAGAAACAGTTTCATGTAGCTTTATAGCATTTCATGCTTAAAGTAAGCAGATAGTCAAGGGTTGCCATATATTGAAGGAAAAATTCTAATAAGAGAAAAGACAAAAACACAAAAAAGCAAATACCAAACCAACCAACCAATGCCCACCACAACCATAAAATTGAGATAGAAATAGTTTAAAGAAAATAAAGTCTATGCAGGAAGAAAAAGAAGAGAAAAGAAGGTATGATTAGTATCCTCGGTGAACTAAAAGAAAATAAGAATAAGGACAATATAAAAAAGAAACAGTCAGAAAATAAAGAACTCATGAAAATATAAAATATAGGAGAATGAGAGAATAGACAGGTTAGGAAGTAAAGGTTGAAAAAATTTTCTATGTAGCAAGTCAAAATGATAAAGAATAGAAAATAAAAAAGACAAGGATATTAGAGCATTGTTTTAGAAGGCTCAACATCTGCTTAAAAGGATATAAAAAAGACAGAATAGAAAAAATAGAATAGATTTCCATGTACAGTGAACAAACTGAGGTTCAGTACAATTGATAAACGTACAAGACCCACATGTAATAACATCATTGTAAAATTTTTAAAATCTTGAGGCAAGTAAAAGATCCTACAAGTTTCCAGCATGGAAAAAAAATTATTTAAAATTAAAAAATAATCGAGAAGTATAATGATACCAAGTTTTCCCAACAGTGACTCCACAACTTGGGAGATAACTGATCAATGCCTCTATTTTTGGGGAAAATGATTTCCAACCTAAAATTCTATATCCACTTATTAGTTAACTATGTGGCTAGTATAAAGGAAAAATATTTTCTGACATGTAAGATTTTCTGACATAAAAGGTCTTAAACGACATTTATGGGACACAGAAATGGATGATTATCTGTCAATAATGTATATAGTATCTTCAACTAGACTGGTGTGACGTGTATTCATGTTGAGTAAATTCACTTTACAAACAGTAGCAATGTATATTGATTGAATGTATAGTGACTGAAAATAATAAAGTAAAATAATGTTCATTCACATTTTCTCAGGAAGCTAATAGAAGGTATGCTCCCACACAGAAAGGAAGGATAAGCTAAGAGAAAGAATAGTCCCATGAAATAGGGGA